AAAGTATTTCTAGTAATCTTTGAGGAATAACTTGATTCGGCGTGGGTTTCATAGAAAATAAATTCTAAGGCAAATGCTAGTGGCTAATATTTTATTGAGGCATGTAATTTCAAGATTCAAGAGTGAGAGAAAGAGATAGTGAGGCAGGGTGAAAGTAAACATTAAAAAGCATGTTTCCTAGTTGGTCATAGCTTCAAGATAAGCTAACAGCTTCATCTTGCTAGATGACTAGAGAACAGTACTTGTCTTAGACCCAAGCAACAGTGGATCTTTTCCTTGAGACCTGTATCTCTCTCTCACTCTCTCTTTCACTCTTTCTCTCTCTCACACATACACACATACACACACACACACACACACACACACACACACACACACAAAACTAAACACATGTATGCCTCTTTCACTGGAAGGATAGCACTCAGTAAGTAGTTCTGCTATAGCTACAGCATGTGTTGTAAACATCTGCTTTCATGACTGACACCATGTGAGTCCCAGAGAAATGCTTCTTATCTCTTGCCTCATGCTCTCTAAATGTCATTATGAGTAGTCCCACTGCTATCATTGAAGGTGGATCTCGCTTTAGATTGCAGGAAAGATCTGAGTAGCAGAAGCACTTAGGCAGAAGAAAAGACAAAGGAATTTACTTTTTCTTAGCCTGAATGAAATAGATTTTTGCATTACAAATATCATTTCCAATAGCGTCTATTATTCTAATAATCATTTCTATTTTTATTCCAATTATGGATCTAAAAATATTCACAAATTGGCACATGAGCTCAGGGGGACATGCAGACTTTAGGACAAAGAAATTTCTTCAGGATAAAGGTGAACATTACATATGGATGAGTCAATCTTCCAAGAAGACATAACAATGAAATGTTTATGAACCCAACATTAAAGATTCAAACAAAGAGAAAACTGACAGAAAAAAAGCAGATATAGGCAAATTCATTATACTTGGAGACTTCAACACTTGTAACTCAGGAATATATAGCACTAGTAGATAGAAAATTAGCAAGAGTGTGGAAGAACTGAACAAAAGCATCAATAACCAGATCTAATTGACATTCATCAAACACTCACCCCAATAACAGTAAAATAAATGTTCTTTACAAGTGCAAACAGAACATTTAACACAGATTAGGTCTTAGTTCATAAACCAAGCCTTAGAAAACTTTAAAGAATGCAAATAACACCAAGTATGGTCTCTGCTCATAATGGAATTAAATTAGCAATCAAGAATAGCTATATAACAGGAAAATTTCTAAATGGTTGGAAATGAATATGGTCACCATCTATCTAAAATGAGGTTTCAAGGAAACTTAGAAAATATTTTGAGCTAAATGAAAATTAAAATAAAGCATATCAAAATTGGTAGAATGCAGATAAAGCAGTACTTGGAGGGAAATTTGTAGCCTTAACTGTTTACATTAGAAAAGAATGCTCTCAAATGGACACTCTAAGTTTCATCTTAAGAAGTTAGAAATGTGGGACCAGCAGTTGGCATAATGGCTATGTCACTGGACTCCCATGTAGTCGACTGCAGTTCGCGTCCTGGACCCAGTGGCTTAAAACTCATGCCGAGCGCGTGTGCGTACATGCCCAAGATCCCAAGATCCTGAGAGGAGAACGGAGGAGAAGGGATTGCGATGTGGCCATCCCCCCTGGGGGTGATTTCTCGCTTTCTGTCTCTCTGTTTCTCTCTGTCTGTCTGGAGAGCGCACGCACCCTATAGCAAAAACCTCTCAAAAAAAAAAAATTAGAAATGAAAGAGAAAAAGTAAAAAGGCAGAAGGAAGGCAATAACAAAGCTGTAGTCAATAAAGTAGAAAAAATAAAATTTAAGAACAATAGAAAAAAGTCAATGAAACCAAAGCAGACTTTTTAAAAAAGATCAATTAAGTAAATTCCTAGTAAGTCTAATAAAAAGAAGACAAAATTTACTAATATCAGACATGAAAAGGAGCTACTAATGACTTCACAATCATGAAAAAATAATAAGAGAATATTATAAACAACTCTCTATGTATAAATTCAATAACTTAGATGAAATGGATAAATTCTTTGAAAACTTCAAACCTCCAAGGTCTCCCAGTATGAACTAGATAATCTAAAATATATAAGTAAATAAATAATCTAAAAATTCTTAAAGCTAGTAAATAAATTTAACAAAACACTGATGTAATCTGGATGCTGAAAACTAGTAAAAGCTGAGAAAGAAACCTATGAAGACCTAAATGAATGGAGAGACTATGGTCATGGAATGGAAGGTTCCACATATTAAGGATATTAATTCTCCCTAGATTGTTCAAGACTAGTTTTAAAACCGAGGCCTGAAGTCATCTTACTGCTGGATAGTTGTGCTAAGGGCCAAACCTATGATGTCTGAATGCAAACATTGAACTATAGTAGTAAGACTATCCACCTTTCCATTAAATGAATGTTTATCAAATCAGCTGCCTCCTTTTTTGATGGAACCTATTAATGAGTTCTGAGAAAGTCTGGGCACAGAGGTCCTCTCTGAGAAGTTAACATTTGAGCTATAAATGACTAGACGAAGTTAACTATGTGAATTTCATTGGGAAGCAGCTTCACAAGTATGGGAAAAATCAACTACAGAATTTGAGGCAAGATAAAATCTGTGTTCAAGGGAAACATCAAGTCCAGAATTTGAGGCAAGATAAAATCTGTGTTCACAGAATAGCAAGAAGGCCGGCATGATTGAAATAGAGAGAACTAGGGAAGAATGTTCAAGAGAATCAGACAATGCCCAGGCTATGTAGAGCTTTACAAGTCATAATGAGTAGGTTTTTAAAAGTATATTGGAGGGGCCAGTGGGTGACATAGTGGTTAAGGTGCTGGACTCCCAATGGCCGATTGTGGTTCCGTTCCTGGACCCAAGGGCTTGAAACCTACCCTGGGCATTTGTGTATGCATGCCCAAGATCTCAAGAGGAGAAAACAAAGAAGAGCTCCTAATAGGAAATCAATTAATCTGATTTGTGTTTTTGCAATGTCACTCTGTACTATAGGGAAGAAAGTATGAAAGGGGTGATTAGGAAGTTATGGTATTCCAGACTGGAGTTAAGAGTGACTTAGGCTAGAGTGGTAGATGAGATGAGTGTGAGAAGCAATGAGATTCAGGATATATTCTGAAATAAGGCTGAAAAGATGTGCTGATGGCTTGGATAGGAGTCTGAAACAAAGGGATTTTTTCCATGCTCTGTGCCCAGCACTGTAAAATGTCTCAGGACAAGCAGATGGCATAATGGTTACATAGCCGGACTCCACATAATCAACTGTGGTTCGAGTCCTGGATCTGGTGGCTTAAAACTCACACAGGGTACATGTGTGTGCATGCCCAAGGTCCTAAGAGGAGAATGGAGAAGACGGGATTGTGGCATGGCCATTCCCTGGGGGGACTTCTCATTTTCTGTCTCTCTCTGTTTCTCTGGTAAGTACACGTGCCCTATAACAAAAATCTCTCTCTTAAAAAAAATGCTATCTCAGTGCAATGGAAGCTATAGAAAGTGGTCAGATTGAGGCTGTATTTTGAAGAAAGAGACCAGGTGTTGATAACAGACTGGAAGAGAAGCGGAAAGAAAGGGAAAGAATTAAGTATGACTCCTGGATTTTAGGCCTAGCAAATGGGTAAAAAGAGTCACTATATAATAACAGCAGAAATAATGAGAAAACAGCAGGTTTGGGAGAGGAATTAAAAGTTGGGTTTTTTAATCTGAGTAGAAATACCAGCAGGCAGTTTCATATATTGTCTAGCATTCAGGAAAGAAATCAGGGCAGAAGATATAAATTTTGAATTTGTCATCTAGATAGTATAGTCACAGAAGTTTTGAGATCACCAAGGGGTAGAGAATGGATTAAAACAAGGGACAAAGACATCTGTGGACAATATCATTTAGGTCAGGAAGGGGAAGATGGGTTAGCAAAGGAAATTGAGAAGGAGGAACCAGTGAGGTAGAAGGAAAATCTAGAAATCCAAGTGAAGAATGGGTTTCAAGGAGAAGAGTATCATCAACTGTGTCAAATGTTGTTGAGAGATCAAATAAGGTGGAGACTGAAAATTGATCATAAGACTTGGTATTAAGAAAGTTACTGGTGACCTTGATGAGAACCTCTTCAGAGTAGAGGGAAGAAAAGTCTGAAAGTAGGAGGTGAAAATACAGAAACTCTTTAAGCTTCTTCTTTTTCATAAGAGGTGAATAAGAGGGGCATGTCTTCAAGTGGATGATTTTTAAGTGCGTCCAAATGTAATATAGAGTACAGTTGATAACAGTATCTGCATAATTACCATGTTCCAAGGACACATTGTTAGGGAGTTCTATTGTAATTAGAGTTTTAAAATCAATAAAAGTTATTTTCTATCTTGAAATATAAATGCCATGTATTAAATGATGAAGCAGAACCAAGTTAATATTTAATTCAATATAAGGATAATCTTTGAGGTCAATTCCATACATTTAAATGAAGCAAAAGACTAGCTCCGACGGTAGCTTAATAACTTTACATCTTTGAGAGGCATCTCTAAAATCACAATAGCTGATATAGCTATCTTCAGAGCTAGTCATTTAATACATGGCATTGACCTACTTTCCTCTTTAATTATTTAAGAGTTAGCTGTTCAGTTGAATCTTGTCCTTGCAATGTGAAGAACAAGACTATAATTGTTGTACATTTTTAGTCAAAATTATAGAGTTTATATAACAAATTGGTCTGTTGCAAATAATTTAGAAGTAAATCAAAAGATACAGAATCTTTTAAAAAATATTAGCTTCTCAATGTCAAGAATTTAGAATACCATTTGATTATCTTTTTGCCAATTTTCTGATGTTGCAAACATCAGCTTCTAGTTATTTACTTGAGTAGTAATTTACATCTAACATTATACATAAATTGTGAAGATTGAAGTACCCCTTGTTTTACTGCCCCTCAACAAGTATAATATAAATTGAGTTGACTATTGGAATGAGAGGAGACTCACCTTTCCCATCAACAGCAAGGAGTGGGCGTTGTTATCTGTCCAACTCTCCTAGGTTATATGGTTTCATATTTAAAAGTCTGATTTTTTCCCCTCCACTCAGGATGATCTACCTGTTGGTTCATTGAAAGGTAATGTCACCCACTGGGTCTAGAGCAAGAATTCCACCACAATAGCAAGAACCCTCTCTCTTTACCCAACCCTGGCTCAGTCTCTTAAGAATTAGCAAGTTGCTAGCTTTTCAATCTCCCAGGCCCCCATTTTGTGACACCACATTTATGCTCCCTTCTCCTTCAGTTGCTATTTCATGTCTTTGGGTTACCATCCATAGTATTAAAATATAGGTAACTAATAATTGGTTCATTGGAAAATAAATGTTTTAATTTGTAGTGTATAGCCAATTTTCATAGTGTAAATACTTCCTAGGGTTGATTTAAGGTTGCTGACTTGATGTCATTGAATATAGAGTTCAGAAGAGGTGTACTCACTCAGCTACCAGGAACCAGTAGGAACCTACTCTAGCTCACTTCATCCCAGTGTTGTTTTCCTGGGATGCAATAGAAAACTGAGAGATCGTAGTGCAGAAAGGATGCAACAGCTTTCTAACATAGAGGCCAAAGGAAAATAATGCTCTTATTTTAGAAATAATTAGAGAATATATCAAAATATGGAGCATGTCAATGTGGAGAAACAAAGATGACTTTATGACTAAAATTCCAGGGTATACCAAGTAAATTAAGTAAAGAGAGAGAGAGACTGAAGGAGAAAGGATCACTCTGGGGTAGAAATTCCTTTTACAAGGCAAAAATTAAAAATCGTAAGCCAACTGTTCTGATATGGTAGCAACATATCAGCAGAGGGGATTGAAAACGAGATTTACTTTGGTGCCTAGGAGAAAAAAATGAAATGGTTGAGCAAGCAAGTATCATCTCTGCTACCCAGACTCTAGAGGTTTCACCTGCTTCACATCTTCAACTCCTTTACTCCCTCAATTCACTGCTCTGTAAAACAGCAGAACACATTTTTGAGACACCAGCATTGTCTCAGCTTGTGAACTGGTCTTACAGTGATAGAACCAGGTACCTAATGCATGCTGTGATGATAACCAGCCAAATTAAGACTCTGAGCCCTTTTTAGCCAGTTCCGATAATCTTAACAAGTGATGGATACTTTTCCAAATGAGAATAGAATTTTCATTAAGCCCAGGAATAACATAACTGATTCAAAATGTGCATACCATCAGGAACTCTGATGACAGAAACCACATCATAAACTTTCTCAAGTTGTTCTCAATTTGTCTCTAAAACCGAAACCAGGTAGAGATGTGCTTTTCACAAAAGAGTCATAAATAACTCAATCTACGACAGGTGAACAGTAGTAAATAGTAATTTAATGATCATTAGGGTAGACATCCACAGATGTTGCCAAAACTCATTTTTAAAACCACTCTGGGGGAACTAGCAGTTAGCGTAATGGCTATGTCGCTGGACTCCCACGTAGTCGACCGTGGTTCGTGTCCTGGACCCGGTGGCTTAAACTCACGCTGGGCGCGTGTGCGTGCGTGCCCAAGATCCCGAGAGGAGAATGGAGGAGAAGGGATTGCGGCGTGACCATCCCCCCTGGGGGGTGA